TCTGAGATTAGGGTGAGGCTGTGATGCGGGGTCTCAGATTAGGGTGAGGCTGTGATGGGGGGTCTCAGGGCTGGGTGAGGTTGTGATGGGGGTCTAGGGCAGGGTGAGGCTGTGATGGGGGGTCTGAGATTAGGGTGAGGCTGTGATGGGGGTCTCATGTTAGGGTGAGGCTGTGATGGGGGTGTCAGAGCTTGGTGAGGCTATGATGGGGGTCTCAGAGCAAGGTGAGGCTGTGATGGGGCATTTCAGGGCAGGGCGAGGCTGTGATGGGGAATCTGAGAGTGAGGTGAGGCTGTGATGAGGGGTCTCAGAGAAGGGTGAGGTTGTGATGGGAGGTCTCAGGGTGGGATGAGGCTGTGATCGGTCTCAGATTAGGATAAGGCTGTCATGGGGTGTCTCAGATTAGAGTGAGGCTGTGATGGGGGGTCTCATAGTGTCATGAGGCTGTGTTGGGGTGTCTCAGGGCAGGATGAGGCTTTGACGGTGGGTTGGAGTCTCAAGGGTACATCTTTTGCTGGGAGCTCAGTGCAGGGGCTGAAGATTTGGACAAGGGCGACGTCCTCTGTAAGCATGCGGTCACCAAGTGTGGGAGCAACTGCACAGTAACTCAGGGGTCTCCAGGGTCAGGACTCCCATCTCACTGGGACTCTGAAATCTGTTCTGTGTGTAGTGTCTGGTATTTAAAAACTAGAATGGAAAGCGTCTGAGGGCTGCACCCGTATGTGAGCAGGAAGTTTTGTGATTCAGTTTCACTCACACCCGTCCTGGGTGCTGGGGTATTTCCATGGGGGCCAGCTCCAGAGTACCCACTGGGTGGATGTTCTCGACAGTGCCTGGGCAACAGGGATGTGTGCCCACTCCCTGCCCCCAGGTCTTAGCCCAAGGACGGGGTCTCTAGGCCAGATCCCAGGTCAGCCAAGCACCATGGGATACGCTCTCCAGACAGCAGGGGGGCTGGGAAGGAGGCTGGGGTGTGGCTGGGTGGGGTGTTGTCTTGCCGTGGGAGTAGGTAGCAGGCCCTGGAGGGGTGCCGCTGGCTTCTCTCCCGTGACAGCCTCCGCAGGAAGTGGTAGGGCCCTAAGTCACCATTTCCCCAGCCCAGCGGGCCCCGGCAGCTTCTCCAAACCCAGCCATGAGCTCCCTGAGCAGGGGTGCATGTGGAGGGGGCTGCTGGCCACCAGGGTGACCGGACTGGATACCTGAGGCAGGAGCCAGCTGGGGCATGTGCTCCCTGTGGTGGCGTCCAGGACCCCATGCTCTCTGGGCCGGACCGGGGAACATGACTTGCTGAACTTCCCTGGAGGCGCCGCACAGGACGGGCGAGGGCGTGTGAGCAGCGCTTCCTCAAGGCCTCGCCTGTGCGCTCTCCTCCCGAGTCACTCAGTGTTTGTTATACGTGAGAAATTGTAAAGACTGCAGGTAGATTTTTAAATTTTCCCTCACAAAGTATTGGGCCACACTGAGGCTAATCTGAAAGTTATAGCCCTGGGTGTGTGTGGCCCCTATGCAGCCATCGGGGGAGGTGGACATCGGGGAGGGGGCCAGTCCCAAGAGCCCCACTGTCCTCACCGCCCAGGGCCCCGCTGGTGGGGAAGAAGGCACACTGGCCTCCCGCCATGTCCTCGCCCCTCCCCAGCCAGCCCGGTGCGAGAGCGGTGGGGGGCTGACCCTGGACTCTCGGGATGGGGGGGACTTCAGGTGGGAAGTGCGGGGTGCTGATCGCATATAGCCCCCCACCCCCATCCCATGGCAGCTACTGCTTACGCCAGGCCCGGGCGCTGTCCTGCCCAACTTGGAGGAGTCAGCAGCTCCTCCCAAACAGAGCGGGTTCCCAGCACTCTGGGGGGGTGGGAGGCCTGCAGAGGGTTTCTGGGTGGGCTCTGGTGGGGAACACAGGACAGACAGGAAAGGAGGGCCCAGCAGTTGGTTCCAATGGGTTTGGGGGAGTCCTCAGAGCCTGGCCAGGTTCAGGGTCCCTCCAAGGGGCCTCAGAACCAGGGTGGCGTGAGGTGTACTTGTGAGTCAGAGAGAGAAAGTGAGTAGAATCCCTCCAAAGCGAGGAGAGAGGACGGCCAGGGCCCGCAGCCTCACACAGTGGCTGGCGAGTGTGCCCTGCTTCCCTAATAGACTGTGGGCCTGGGGCTTCCCCAGAGACCGAGTGGAGAAAACGAGCCCCAGCCAGCCCCTGCACCGATGACCCTGAGCGACTGCAGTCAGGGCTGGGGGCTCTCCGTCTCCAGGCCAGAGGGAGGGATCGGGGAGCAGAGGCAGCAGCCTGGGTCTGGGCCCACTGCCCACCCCCGTGGACTGAGCGCTCCCCTTCCATCCCCCGCCTTCAAGGGCCCAGAAAGCCCCCACAGGACACCCCAGAGGAGCCAGTGCTTGTAGAGGGAGAGGCCACTCCCAGCCACCCCCCCGTCCCCTGCCACCCGTGCTTCCTAGAGCTCAGACAGAAGGAAAAGCGTGAGGAAGTGGCCTGTGTCCCAGGGAGCCTGTTCACTGGCCGCTCCTTCCTACTGGATCCCAGGCAATGCCACACCTGTGCCACCAGTGTCCCCTTACAGTGGGGAAATCGAGGTGGTCTAGCTGTGGGGAGGCCAGGTCAGGGTGAATCCACCGTCTGCTGTGACCTGGACATCAGACCTCTGCCCAAGACCAGAAGGGTGTGGAGGGGCAGCAGGCCACCCTGGACTTTGTCCTGGGGCAGGGTCTTCGGATCCGCTGGCTGGCAGGTGGCGCCACCTCTGCTCTCCCTGCTGAGAGCTGCACACTGGGGCGAGGCTGGGGCTGAAGTGGACGTGCAGGCCTCTTGCCTCCCTTCCACCTCCCAGCAGTAGGCAGATCCCAGGAGAGGAGCGTCAGGAGATGGGGAAGAGGGACCTGCTACCAGCTCTGGGCTGGCTCACTGTGCCCACCAGCCTCTCTTGGCAGCCTTGGTTTCCCCACCAGTCCAGTGGGCAGGAGTTAGACCTTGAGAGTAACTTGGAGCTCTTCCTGGTTTCTATGATTTCTCTGGAAAGGGGACTTTGGGGCTGGTGGATGTGGGTGGGGGCTCACCTCCTCCAGCACCCCTGGCCAGAGGTGGGTGGGGCTTCGGGGTGGGCAGGGCCCGTCCCAGGCTCCTCCCCCATCTGCTCTCTGCTGACCTCCTGCTCCCCTCCAGCAGTCTTAGGACCATGAACGACACCTGCGGCCCCTCCGGTGTCCCCGTCTGGTCCCCGGCAGTCACGCACGTCCTCTACAGCTACACGGGCGCCCTGCTGGTGCTGGGCCTGCTGCTCAATGGCCTGGCGCTCTGGGTGTTCTGCTGCCGCATGCAGCGGTGGACGGAGACCCGCGTCTACATGACCAACCTGGCGGTGGCCGACCTCTGCCTGGTCTGCAGCCTGCCCTTCATGCTGTACACGCTGCAGCACCCCGCAGGGGTGGACACACTGTTCTGCCAGCTCTCACAGGCCGTCTACCTGACCAACAGGTACCTGAGCATCAGCCTGGTCATGGCCATTGCTGTGGACCGCTACGTGGCAGTGAAGCACCCACTGTGTGCCCGCAGGCTCCGCTCCCCGCAGCAGGCCGCGGCCGTGTGTGCGGTCCTCTGGGTCCTGGTGACCGTCTTCCTGGGGCTCCGCTGGTTCCTGGGGGTGCAGGAGGGTGGCTTCTGCTTCACGAGCCGCTCCCGCAACTTCAGCACGGTGGTGTTCCCGCTGCTGGGCTTCTACCTGCCGTTGGCCGTGCTGGTCTTCTGCTCTCTGCAGGTGGTGACTGCCCTGGCCCGGAGGCCGGCCTCTGGCCCGGCGCAGGCAAAGGCCACCCTCAAGGCCACCCGCATGGTCTGGGCCAACCTGGTTGTGTTTGTGGTCTGCTTCCTGCCCCTGCACGTGGTGTTGACGGTGCAAGTCCCCGTGGGGTTGCACGTCCATCCTGGCTGTGGCATCCCGGCCGCTCTCCGCAGTGCCCTTTTGGTCACCAGCAAGCTCTCAGATGCCAACTGCTGCCTGGACGCTGTCTGCTACTACTACATGGCCAAGGAGTTCCAGGAGGCGTACGCTGTGGCTGCAGACCCCGGTGCCAAGGCCCACAGGGGCCAGGACTCTCTGTGTGTGTCCCTTGTCTAGGAAACATGCCACAAGTGACGTGGACCAGGGCTCTGGGTTTCCTGGAGGCGCTTCCTGCCGCTGAAGGAGCCCCAAGATCAGCCCTGAGGTCACAGCGGGCTGTGGGCACACACCACGTGGCCCAGGTGGGCAGGGATGACCCAGGCATGGAGCCTGGAGGGCTTCCCTGCTCCCTTGGGGTCAGAGACAAGGGCAGAATCTGAGGCCAGACCAAGGCCGACCCAGGGACCCTGAGATGGGGCCACACACCCACCACCTCCGAGCTGGGCGTAGTGCCAGGCAGGGTGGGGCCTTGCTGGCAGGCTTTCTGCTGCTGCCCCCGGGCTGGAATAAAGCTCTCTGCCAGGACTCATCCTGTCAGGGCCTCTGCGCTGCCCTCGCACGACGGGCAGGGGGCGGGGAGGGAGCTTGTGGCCGGGAGGGCCAAGGGAACATCTCCCCAGAGGACTCTGGGGCTCTCACTTTGGTGCTCTTCTCCCTGGGCCCTGTCACCCTCCCCACCTCCCTGCCCCACTCCCCACCTATCTGGAGAGCTGGTGGGGTTTGTCTGCATCTCCTGGAAGGACCTCGCTAGAAGCCCGCAGCCCAGCTCTCTAGTCAAGGCAGGGCTGGGGCTGCACAGCTGTGCTGGGGTGAGGTGACAAGGGTCAAGCAGACCGGGGGCGCTGGGAGGCCGGCAGATAAGGAGGTGGCCAGGGTCTCTTGGGGGAGCATGGTCCCTTGGTCCCTTGGTCCCTCCTTCAGGAAAAGGCCGGGAGCCATGTCTGGCAGAGTCAGGGTCCAGGCGCCCACCCAGGCAGAAGCAGGGACGTCCCAGCTGGTTTCCGACTCTCCTGTGCCTTCCTGCTGGGGCCGGGCACCCAAACTCAAGTTGGAATGACCAGAGCTTTCCAGAGGCTTCCTGTGGGTGCTGGACCAGGGTGGGCCTGGACTCAAACCCTGGCTTGGAGGAGGACTTCTGGGCTCCGAGGCACAGCACACGGGTCTGGGCTGATCCCCCCTGACTGCCCACATGTGCCCATTGGGGCTGTCCTCACTGGGGTGGAGGAAGCAAAAGCTGCAGGAGGGAGAAGTGGCCCTGCCGGAGCCTCTACAGGGCCTCCCGCCGGGTGCACCGCACCGGCCCCGGCAGAGGCGGAGGGACCCCCATGCACGGCAGGGGCAGGGTGGACACTCCCTCTCTCTCCTGCCCCTCCTGGTTCCCAGCACGGTGGAGGCAGCTGGACTTCCACAAGGTCCCTGAGGGAACGCAGAGAGAGAAGACAGAGGCAGCAGCACAGTGTCCCGAGAGCTGACTGCCCAGCCTGACCGCGACCACGCGCTCTGAGTGTCCTGCCCCCGGGTCGGCCTCCGGGCTGGGCCGAGCCTCTGCCCAGTGTGAGAACAGATACAGACGCCCTGGAGGGCTTGGGGGTAGGCACACTCATTACGATCAGAGTCTCCATTAGTGAGCCAGGAGCAGGCACCCGAAGGAGAAGTGGTTCATGGTGAGGCCACCTCAGCAGGACTGTGGGGCGCACAAGCTCATCCTCCTCTGCGAGGGGTGTTCCTGGGGTATTTTATCTGGCTCGGGTCACGGGCCCAGGATACCCTGGGGAGGGTGTGGAGGAGGGGTGGGCTGGCGAGGGCTCGGCAACCCAAATGACTTGGGAACAGCCAGGGACCTGTGGGCTGTCAGCTACAGGTGACGCGCCTCCCAGGGAGTGGTGGCCTCTGCAGCCATGAGGAGCAGACAGGACTGCAGAGGTGGCTGCAGAGGACAGACCCAGGACTGGGAGGGACCTAGAGGACTGCCCAGAGCCAAGCTGCTCCTGCTCAGGGAGCTGGGTTTGATGTAGAATCTAGGCGGCTGATAATTTTCAGACAGATGCTCACGGTGTTGTTGGGAAGCCCCGTGCCATCTGACTCCCCAAATCCTATGTTTTATCTGCTTCATAGTCCCCCTCTGGAAGCTTTTAGGATGTTTCTCTATACGTAGCACTAGAGTTTCACGATGCTGTGCCCTGGCCACCGTGCTGGGAGCATGGCGTGCCCTTCCTGTGTGAGGACCGGAGCCCCAGTTCGGGGGGGGGGGCTTCTCTCTTTGGGTGACTTCCGACCGCCCGCTGCTCTCTTTCTGGGACTCCCATGAGCCAGGGGGTGGAGCTCGGGGACTGACCTTCTGTCTGTCTTATTTTTTCTATTGTCCGTCACTTTGATCTGTTCTGCCTTGTGGGGATGCCCCCTCACCTTTATTCCCCAACTCTCTTACTGAAGTTTTATTTCAGTGATTGCTCAAGAGCTTTTCCTGGTTTGGGGTATTGTTTTTTAAAAATACCATCCTGTTCTCACTTGATGGAGGCACCATCTTCTCGGATCTCTGAGGATATCACTTACGGTTATTTTTATTTTTAAAAACAACTTTACTGGGCCGGCCCGGTGGCGCACTGCTACAGTGCGCCGCTTGAGAAGTGTGGCAGGCGCTCCCGCCGAGGGTTCGGATCCCACATGCAGACCGGTTCCCGCTCACTGGCTGAGCGAGGTGTGGGAGCAACACCGAGGGTTGCGATCCCGTTGCCGGTCCCGGTCCGGTGCGGGGGCGACACTGAGGGTTGCGATCCGTTGCCGGACACGGAAAAAAGACAAAAAAAAAAAAAAAACAACTTTACTGAGGTAGAGCTGATACACAGCAGCTGCATTAGTTACAGGGTGCACCGTGGCACATCTCGACATATGTGTGCGCCTGTGAAGCCACCACCACGGTCATCACCCCAGAGTTCCCTCCTGCCCCCCGGCCCCCGACGGGCCTTGCCCACGGGCTCGCATCTCCTGGAGCTCCGCGTGAGTGGAGCCCGCAGCTGCACCAGCTCCGTCCAGCGACCTGCCTCAGCGCGGTCACTTTGAAGTCCGCCCATGCTGTGGTATCAGTCGCCCTGGTTTTGGTTTTCGTCGCTGAGTGGGATCCCCCCACAGCTGTTGCCAAGTGCGCCCCCGCTGCCTTCGCTGTCTGTCACCTCTGATTTCCTCCTCCTGTGTCCTGACCCTTCTTCCCTTGCTCCTCTCTCCTTCCTTCCTTCTGTTCTCAGGAAGCTTCTGCCATCTCTGGCCGTCCAGGCTCTGACGGTGCGGGCCAGAGCTGTGGTCAGGGTCTGCGGACAGTTCGGCTTCTCCATGATGCTCCTTGTGTTCCCAGCTGGGGGTTTGAGCCCCGTGCAGGGGGACTGAGGGAGAAGGGGTCTGGGGAGGAAGGAGCCACCACGCTGGTCATTACGGGCAGCTTCACGGAGTCTCCTGTTCTTGGCTGGGACCCAACAGCACCTGCCTCTGTGCCTGGTGTCCCTGCAGTCTGCAGGCTCCGTGGAGTTTCTCCTGAGAGCACATCTCCAGTCTTCTGTGCAGGAGGCGTGTCAGTCAGGGATCAGTGCGGGAAAAAGGAACGTCCTCAAGCAGAATGGGACCGGGACATTAGTTGCTTGGGAAATTGCTGCAAGCTCTGGCAATGTGGGTGCTGGGGTGGTGGTGGGGCACTGCCCACCCTCCAGGTCAGTCCAGTGTGGCTGCTGTGTGGGGCACCGTGTCAGGGCTGCCCCTGCTCTGAGGGAGGGGCGGCAGAAGGTAGCGTCCAGCCAGCCTGAAGGTTGGCATGTCAGGAGCTGCTGCCAACGTGGCTGCCACTTCCCCCCAGGTGACCATCTTTGTGCACAAGGTCTGACCTGGCTGAAAGCCCTCACTCACACAGAGCACAGAGGTGGCAGTCCTCACTGTCCCAGACCAGTGTGTCCACCCCAAGCCAGGCCAGCAGCACCGGCCCTCCCCCCATTGGCAGCCAGGGGGGTCTTCCGGGAGCAGGGTGTGGGGCTGGTCCTCATCTGGCCTTGTCCTTCCCAGGGCAGGGCCTGGCCTGAGTGGGGCAGCTGTCCTCGGCTGCAGCCAAGTGTGGGGTGGGAGGGGACGGTGAGTTTCTGTTTCGGGCATGTGGGATGAGTTTCTGGAGGGGTCGGGAGCGGGGGCTTCAGGAACTGCTGTACACAGAGTCTCTGGCATAGAGAGAGCTGGGGAGGGGCAGTGAATGGGAGAAGCGGCCAGGGGAGGGACACAGAGACGAGGTGAGATGACATCACGGAGTGGGGTGGAGGGCCAAGGCCGGGGGGCCGTGGAGACAGACACACATGCATGGAGAGACGGACGGAGGGTCAGCCTAAGGGGCCCCGGCTGCCAGCCCCTCCTGCTCTCCTGCAGAACAAGAGCCCCAGAGCATAGCTGGGCACCCCTTTTGGTTCCTCAGAAGGGCCCCGAGGGTGGGTGGGGGTCCTAGGGTCTTGGGGAAGGACAGTGGGCTGACCCGCCAGGAGTCTGAGGGCTCTGCTCCCAGGCCACACGGCCAGAGCAGTCAGGACAACTGGGCAGAGGGGCAGAACCCCGAGGCTGAGACCGTCAGGCTGAGCTGAACCCCCACTGAGCCCCCTGCCTGGCACATCACCAGTCCCGGCCTAGGGTACAAGGCCAGGGGGTAGGGCCCGTTGTTCACCCAGCAGGGCAAAGGAGGTGCTGGGGTCCACGGCCCATAGTCTAGAGAGGGCCTTGGTGGGTCAGGGGAGGGGATAGCATGGCCCAGCTGTGCAGGAGACCTGTGGCCGGGACAGGAGAAGGACCGAAGAATAGAGACAGAGAGAAAGACAGAGAAACAGAGAAAGACAGAGACAGAGGGACAGAGAAAGAGAGACAGAGGGACAGAGACAGACAGAGACAGAGACACAGAGAGAGAGAGGTAGAGAGGGGCTGCAGGTCCAGGTGAGGCCTGGGCGGGGTCACCACCCAGGCTCACATCCACCAGCTGAGTCTCTGCGTGCTCAGGTGGGGCGGGAGGGTGGGCTTCGGCCTCTGACCTGGCTCCCTGTGGCCCTCACCGCCTTCTCGCACCCTCTCCTGCAGCCCGGGAAGAGCTGCAGATAGCGAGCGTCCTGTCACAGGCAGCTACCGGCCTCTCCACCTGCCTTGTCCTGGTGCTGGGCCTGCTGCTCGGCTGCCTGGTGCCCTGGATGTTCTGCACATGCAGGTGGACGGGGACCCGTCTACACCGCTGAGCTGTGATGGCCCACTTCCTGCTGCTGCTGAGCCTGCCTAGGGTTCTGCACAGGCTGGGCCAGACAGCGAGGGGCTGGGGCGGGCAGGCTCCTGCAGGGCTCCTGCACAGCTGCACCCACGTGAGCGTGCACTGCATCACGCCTTTGCCTGCCCACCCGGGTGCCAACCCAGCACCCCCCCTGCCAGGCCACCCTCCCCTGTGTGGCCCTCTGGCTTCTGGTCTTCAGGGCCGTGGCCCTGCGGTGTCCTGGCTGTGTGCTGGGGACGCTTCTGCT